ACTTGAAATTTTCAACATTCTGTTGCATTCTTTGAAATAATTTAAAATAAATGTCTTTAAAAGTAGCTTTAAGTTGCCAAGAAATGTTTTTGCAATACCGATTTATTAAAAAATTACTAATATTTTTGTTAATCCAATATAATAGAATACAACTTTTGCAATATTCAATATGTTCCAACTCTTTGCTAGATAAAAAAGGTTATATTCTACCAATTAAAAAATACACTTTTGCGAAAATGTATGCCATTCCTATAACTTATCTAGATACACATAAAACAAGCCTTAAACTCTTATCTCAATGTGATTAAGTCCACTTTCGATTTGTTATGGCAACAGCCTTCGAGCGCTTATTTATTACCTTTGCATATTATGACACAAGTGCATATTTGCAGAAGTGCGGGTATATGCGTGTGCGTATTTACATGCGTATTCCTGCGGTGTAACAAATTATCGAAGCGTTAAGGCTCTAATTGAAATCCCTCTACAATGCAAACACCCCCAGGGCGTAGAATTCCATAAACACGACCTCACTGATGCATAACTACTGCTGCGCCACTATCAGGCGACCAAACGCTAACGCTGCTCTTGCTGCTTACCGCCTGGCCACCACCACTTTAGTAGCAAGTTGCGCATGTATGTGTGTGTGTATGCGTGTGTGTGTTGGTGGCCTGCACGCCATTGAAGCGGAAGTCATTAGTAGCGAAAACAGGCAACAGCAGTCAGCGGTAAATGCGGTTAAATGCACTTTGTGTGCGTACCGTCAGACGAACGACCATGCACCCGGCTCATATGGTGTTATTTCGCAACTATAAACAGATGCCAGCAAACAATTTCRGTGCTGGCGCAGCATGCATGCATGCATTTCATAGTAAATATACGCAAGTTACACAAGCGGAAGCTTAGGCGCTGGYACATTTACGTTTGTATATATTTATAAATACACGCGCTATCGGGAGTTTACAAGCAAACACACGCGTGTGTAAATGCGCATGCATAAAATTGTGCGAGCGCTTGACAATCAGCTGCCAATGAAGCATGATGGCGGTCACCATAGCAATAAAAGACACTGACGACAAACGCGCGCGCACAMTCAAACACACACGCAGACACAAAAGCAAATTATGCACACACAAACGCAAGCTCAATCATTAGTTGGGCGTCAGTCGCCACCGTAGTTGGCATGTAGCACGCATTCGGCGTTGTACCGCAGCACACGACCCAGACAGCTAATGCTGGTGATGAGCATAATGGACGTCAAAGGCTGTTTCGTGATGCACAATCAGTCAGTCAGGTTGAGTGCTGGTCGCACAGCCGCCATCTTCTCACATCATCTCTCTCAGGTTGGCATGGCAACCACTTCAGTCGGTCAGYGCGCGCTGGGTCGGTACTAATTCTATTTGCATTTTAAAAATTGCTCACGAAAAACCTATGCGCCTATGCTTAATAGCGAATGCAAAAGCAGCTTTTGCCTTGCAGCTGCTAACTAAATGCCACGCAATTATTTTCATTGATGCGCTGCGGTCTGACGTCCCACTGCGCCAATAGCCAGCACGCACATGCCACAAAATGCATGCGACAACTAATGTGCATGCTTATGTAAGTGGATGGGCAGGTGTGTTTGTTGGTTGCAGCAAAAGTGCAGTTTTTTGGAATGTTCGTATAATACGCCGTTATGGGCGGGGAAGAAGTGCAACGAGATAGTGATTGCATGCTTTAGAATTGCTCGAATTTAGGCGTATAAATTTGGTTAGCGGAAATAGTGGGCTAAACAGTGTCGAATAAATGTATTTGGTGCAATTTTTTTGGAGTGTGAATTTTATGTAAATGGAAAATGTATTATTGCTTTAGTTCTATAAATACAAATAATACTTTTTTATATTAAAAAGTTAATGTGGAACTTTGTATGATTCCTTTGTAATGTCTTTATATTTTATCTTTTTATGTTTTTTAATAAAACAAGAAAAATGCCGGTTATAAAAAGAAAAACTATTGATTTTGATCGATCAATTCGTTAGGCTGCTATGCGTTATAGACATCCGATCCGAACAATATATGCAGATATTGTAACGCTTAATAATAATATGCCAAATTTTGTGAAAATATCTTGTGAAATAAACAAGTTTTCCATAMAAGGAATTCTTTTTTAACAATCAGTTTGTATGACAGGTATATGCTATAATAGTCTCATCTGAACTATATCGAACAGTTTACATGGCGGCTATATCCCATAATGTTCCGATTYCAGCAAAAACTACAGATATTGTAGCCTATCCTGAGGCAATAACCTGTGCCAAATTTTGTTAAGATATCATGTCCATTAAAAAAGTTTTGCATATAAGGACTTCATTTTGGTATGTATAGCATCTATATCCTATAAAAGTTCGATCTGAACATTATGTTCAGAGATTGTAGCTATGGCTTAGGCAAGAAGTCATGCCAAATTTCTGGAAATTTTTCGGCAACTGAAACATTTTCCTATACAAGAATTTGATTTTGATCAAACTGTATGTATGGCAGCTATATGCTATAGTAGCTCGATATGGACGCGTCCTAGAAATGAGCAGCTCTCAGGTAGTATTCAGGGTATAAAAATGCCCTGCAAGTTATACAATACTGAACTACAGGCAGTGGAGATAAAGAGRTTTTATGCCCCTTTATAAACTAAATTTACTTCCGACGATAAATAMCTTCATATGGAATATCTATTGAAAAATTCTAGCCAATTAAACAAAACTTTGTGCGCTATTTTCATACAGATGGAACAAATAAAGTACTTTAATAAACAAGGAAAATGCCTTAATTAAGCGAAAGAAATCGTATATGAAATATTTCAGTTAAAAAAGTTGTTTTTCTTTCTATATACATATGRTATTGTCAACTAAAAAGCATAACAACGTATCAAAAAAATCGAAATTAARTTTTTTATTGCTTACGATTCACTACATCATGTTACATAAATGTCGCAATAAATTTTCAGCTTCCGCCGACCTATATAACCACTGTATAACCAATTTGTAACTAATGCATAACCAATTACTAACTAATGCATAACCAATATATAACCAATTTGCAACTTACATATAACCACTTTATAACCAAAGCTATTTTTTGTTTATGTATGAATGGCTTTTATTATATCGTGTTTCCTTCGCTGTAAACTTATGAAAAGTGATGATACGTTATTTTGCACTTTAGGTAACGATATGCATTTTACATCGCACCCAAAGCCGCTGCTGTGCTATGTGTTTAGCCTTAGTTGCAATTGGGCCTAAGTGGACGACAAGTGAATTTAGTTGGTAGTGAAATGTCATGCTGACACGTTTTTACACGGCTAATTTTCCCTTTTTCCACACACGATCGCGACCTTCTCCTTTGAGAATGCACACTGAGTTCTAACGCGACGCATGCGCGTGTGAAACACGACGCAGTTGAGCGACGCACGTGCTTCAGCGGTAATTTATAATCATACTGCTTTCAATTTGTATAATGAGACATAACATTAATTACATATGTATATGTATGGCTATGAAATATRTATGTATGCAGATMCRTAATTTGTTATTCTTAAAAGCGGAMTTTGTCGTTTTAGGCAGATAAGTCAATTTGCACTGCATATATAGCATATAAATCATAAATCAAAATATGCACAACTGCATTTTGAGGATATAGCCAAACGCGCATGCGCACATGTATGCATGTATTTATATAAGAAAAATTGCCGCGACACTCAGCGCTGCCAGTCGCACCGGCGCAGTTGTTTTGAAAAGCAAAATAAACACAGACAGTCCCGGTTTTTTTTTGTTGTTGTTGTTTATTTTCCTATCCAACACTTTGCACCTAAGTCAACAGGCTGCATTCTCAGGCACTTCTCCCAAAACGGATAAGCGCATTGTTGCTTTTCAAACAATTCCATTAAAAACCTGTACCCTTCAGGAGTCACGTCCGTCCACAAAAGGACACACAGTTACGTGGAAATAACTACGAAGAGCGAGCGCATAAATCTCAAACGTTTGGGAAATTACTTGCAAAGCAAACAGGTAAATGAGCAAACACAAATAAATGTSTCACGGAGTTTTCCCTTAACACACATGTATACAGACACATACCCATRTACATATAAATACATGTTATATTCAAGGCTACAGGTAYGTACGAGCATGTGTTGCGCACATTGCGCGCTGCAGGTAAGGCCGACAGRTAGTTAGCTAGGATCGAAGGTGCGGCTGCGGAGCGCGACCGAGTGAAGTCTCAGTTTTGAAAGTGTTTTCGGTGATAACACTGCAGCAAGTGAAGAAGCGCATGCGCAACTAATTTCCATTTTGGTTTTCAACCTTTAATAAACTATTTGSTATTATTTTAGTCTAAACTGGCTTATTAGTTTGGAGAAAGTGAGCGCTAATAATAATTTTTATAAGTAAATTAATATAAAATAAATTGCTAACTAAAAGTTTCCTCCCTCTCTTTGCTTTTAGACATCAACAACATAAACGGAACAGCAGGCTGTCTAAAATAAGCAAAACAGCAACARCAAMAACAAAATCCGCTAAAATGCTACAACACATAGCGCCCGCCAGCAGCGGGTATTTCGCCAAGCCGCGTCAACGCTTTAACACGCAGCAATGCTGCGTCTTCGCACTCGCCTTACTCATCGCCGTGTGTCAACTGCCGACCGCCACAGTAGCCGTTTTCTCACAGAAAAACTGCCGCGACTTGGGCGCCAACTCGCATTGTCAGTGCTCGACGATGCCCTCACGCTACGAAATTCAATGCCCGCCCATGGACTTCAATCACAAATTCACCGTACTAATCAGCCCGGGCGAACACGTACAGATCGATTGCGGTCGCGTCGATGCACGCGAATACAATCTGCTGCCGAGCATGTCCATAGGCGATAGCAAAATYGTACAGATCCGYCAGTGTCCGCTGCCCGGTCATGATCCCATAGCGCGCCTCTTTGAACATTTGGGCATAACAAAGGTGAATTATCTGATGTTTGAAAGCGGTGAGTTGGGCGCCAATCTGACGCGTCACCACCTCAGTGATCTCAAGAATTTGGCGCACCTACGCTTCAGCTCGAACAGTTTGACACACATGCCGGAGGATTTGTTCGCCGATTTGGGTAATTTGAATTGGTTGGATTTGCGTTCGAATAATGTCAATTTGACGGAGAAACTTTTCGAGCCACTCAAAAATTTRACATTCCTCGAATTGGGTCATAATAATTTGAAAACTTTGCCGCGTGGCATATTCAAGAATCAGCAAAAGCTGCTGCATCTCAATTTGTGGGGTAATCAATTGCGTAATCTGACGAAAGATGTTTTCGAGGATGCCACTTCGCTCACCGACATCGATTTGAGCGCGAATAATATTGAGTCGTTTGCGCCCGATGTCTTTCAACCGTTAACACAGCTCGGCAGTCTTTATATAAGCGCGAATCATATACGAGAATTGCCATTTGGACTCTTCTCCAATACGAAAAATTTGACGGAATTCCGTTTGATCAACAATCGTGTTGCGCTCATCACTCTGCCATCGCAGTTGTTTGCCAACTTGCCGCACTTGAAGGAGGTGCGTTTGAGTTGCGAGCTAGAGAGCGTGCCCGAAGATCTGTTCGAGAACTCAAACAAGTTGGCGAATCTCACGCTGAATGACAACATGTTGACCACACTGCCCGCGCAACTGCTGAGAGATCAACACGAATTGTATGATCTGGATCTGTCGCATAATCGCCTGCAAACGCTACCCGATGGGCTCTTCCARAATACGAARAAGCTAGTGGAACTCAAGCTATCACACAACCAGCTACGCGAAATCTCAAGGTAAGCCTAAAAGCTGTGAAAACTGCTGCTTTCGAGCACTTTGTGTTAACTTTATGCTAACTTTATCTTTACTTCATCGCATTTCGTTTTAGCGAACTCTTCAACCCACTGGTCAATCTCGAGCTACTGCTGCTGGACAACAACAATTTGCTAACAATCAACATTTATGCCTTCCGCGACACAGCGAACTTGAGGTTTTTGGATTTGGAGAACAATCAAATCGATCTCGCCGAAGCACATGCCGCCATACTCGAACCCACGGCATACTCCAACTCCGAGTTCGATGCGAATTCGCCATTCCAGTTTCTCTACAAGCTGCAACAGCTCAATTTGCGCAACAATTCCATCATGTATATCTTCAACGACTGGAAGACACAGCTGCTCGAACTGCAGAAACTCGAYCTTAGCTACAACAAYATCACCATATTCCACGACCAASACCTGCAGTTCCTCAGCAGGCATCCCGTCGAAGTGAATCTCACACATAACCTCATACACGAAATCAACTTCAACACAATCCAAATCATGGATGCGCCTTTCGCAAACCGCCTGGTACGCATAGACCTCAACGACAATCCGTTGCACTGCGACTGCCTTATGCTGCCCTTCTTGAAGTTTATCTTCAACGAGTTCAAGGACAAATTCGAGAATAAAATTGAGTTGCTGACAACGAATTTGCAGTGTGAAGGTCCGACTGCGCTGCAGGGTAAACATATGCTGGAGCTGAGTTACATGGAGTTGCTGTGTCCATTGGATGACAGCGCTTCGAGCGAAAAGCGTTGTCCACGCGGCTGCGACTGTTGGGTGCGTCCACATGATTATATGTTGCTGGTGAATTGCTCCAACGGCAATTTGACACGCTTGCCCGCACTCCCWCACGAACCACTACTCAAAGGCATCGTGCTGTTTGTGGAGAACAACAATCTTATGCGGCTACCGCTTAACAGCACGACGGGTTACGCTGATGTCAAGCAACTACATGCCGCTGGCAATCAGCTGCGTGCCATTGAAGCCAACAACTTGCCAGCGGGTCTGCAATACTTGGATCTGCGCCACAACATGTTACAGCGCCTCAATGATAGCGTWCTGGATTACCTGAACGACAGCAGCACACTGGAAGCGCTTTTACTCTCGCACAATGCGTGGCGCTGCGACTGTGAAACGAGACCGCTGCTTGARTTCACACAGAGTGCCACTGTACTGCAAAAGCTGAAGGTGCGTGACTTCAATCAGATGCGCTGTGCGGTAGATCCAATGAAGCCGCAACAGGTGCAATGGTTCAAAGACATATCTGTCGCCGATATCTGTCCAACACAAATGGGCTTTGTAATTGCTATGGGCATCAGCATTGCWTTGCTGGGTCTGTTGATCGGCATTTGCGTGGCGCTCTTCTACAAATACAATCAGGAAATTAAAGTTTTCCTCTATGCACACAACTGGTGTCTGTGGTTCGTTACCGAGGAAGAGTTGGACAAGGATAAGAAGTACGATGCTTTCGTCTCATATTCGCACAAAGATGAAGCATTCATCGCYGACTATCTCGTGCCGCAATTGGAGCACGGTCCGATACCCTTCAAGCTGTGCATACATGTGCGTGATTTCATTGTTGGTGGCTGTATACCCGATCAGATTATACGCTCGGTGGATGAATCCAGACGCACCATTGTTGTGTTGTCACAAAACTTTATCGAATCCGTGTGGGCGCGTATGGAGTTCCGTGCCGCTCATCARTCGGCGCTCAATGAGAAACGCAATCGTTTGATTGTAATCATTTATAGTGATATTGAAAACATTGAAAATTTGGATAGCGAACTGCAAGCATACCTCAAGACCAACACCTATCTGAAATGGGGCGATCCATACTTCTGGGACAAACTGCGCTATGCCATGCCACATCCGAGCCGAAAAAATACAGGTGGTTTGGAGAAGACCGCCATGAAGAGTTCGGTCGATGATAAACTCGAACTCATCAAACCATCGCCCGTAACACCCTCACCCACTACACCACCTGCCATGGCGGCGAAAAATCCACTCATCGCACATCTGAATGGCGGCACGCCACAAACTGCGATCATTATACCGAATGGCAAGATGACGAACGGCATGACGCCCAACTATCACATGAATGGCAAGACACAAAATGGACATATTAACGGCGCTTTCATTATCAACACAAATGCCAAGCAGAGTGATGTATAGAATAGGGAGAAGGCGGAAGTGTTTCAGTTCGATGATGATTTCTTGTTTCGATGAACCTGAAACTGGGCCGTGATCGCGTTCTAAGTTAATTTAAAACTAATCTAAAGATGTAAATTGCGTAAGCAATGGCATGTGACATCCACAATCCCGAAAGCGCGCAGCTTGCTGGTTGAAACAACTAAAAGTAGGCTAAGCATATACCAACAACAAGGCGTAATACATATAAGGGGTATGCAGAAACGGAGACACTTTTTTATTTATTTTTTTTTTTAGTTTTTGGAAGCCGTCATTAACCGTTATGCTCACTATATGTTCGTTTAAGTTTTTTTGCTGTTTTTAAAAATATGTAGTATACCTTTAGGCTTTTTTGAACATATGTAGCATCCCTTCAGGCTATTATTGTAATAAGCAATATTTTATGTTAAAATTTCGTAAATTTTGGGTATGATGCTCATTTATAGATCACATAAATTCAGAAAAATTCTTTGTTTTATTTTTTTTATAATATTTTATAAAAATTTTTGTCTTGAATTCTTTTTACATTATTTAAAACTAATTGAATTKTACATTTAAGTTGTTTTTGACTTGTAAGAAATGAAACTTTTCAAACAAACATATTTTTATACTCTCACTAGCATTAAGCAAGTAACAAGTTAGCCGCTAATTATTAGCTAAGCAAGTAATGTACGTGTATAGAAAATATAAACTTGAAAAATTCGAAACAGAAAAATATCGCAGAATTTTAAGATTAAGCTCTTTGAAAAAGCTCAATGCATTAAGCTCAAGTATGGTTGATTTTCTTTCATTTCATTTAGAAGAAAAACCGGAAATCTCGTTTTCAAAAACTCGTTTTGACAATCTTTCATTAGCTAATTTTTTACGAATCTCAATTGTTAAATATAAATAATCCAAGGCAAAGTTTTAACTAAGAAAATTTATGGTTTTCTACATTTTCGCTTTAAGAGAATTTCTCGAATATTTTAACAGTATATATATACATACAAATGTATATAACACAATATATAGTTTATTATTTAGGCTCACTTGACTAACAGACGCATATAAGCCAATGTATGTATCTGAGTGAGTAAATATGTAGTACATGCTCGCTAAGCACACACAAACACACAATTACATGGTGACAACAAGAGCAACAAAAATACACATTTTCACATTTCACAAATGCAATATGAAAATTCCAAAAACTAGCGTTAAGTAACAGTGCACACACACACAYACGTATATATAAATGTAATGAATTACAGTAATGTTTAAGTAAATAGCATAGATGTGAAAACTTAATTTCCGCTATTCGATAAGTATGTACTTAGTAGATTTTTCAAAATAAATAAATATATGTATAGCGAGAACAACAACAATTTGAACAAGTAAATACATATTACACATGTGTATATTTATAAGTATATATATATATATATATATTTAGCTTTAGAGGAGTACATATACCCAAACAAATGCCTTCTACACAAATATGAGTAAAACAAAAATGAAATTTGAATAAAATTTAAATTAAATAAGCAAATCATATAAGTGTTTGAGCTGATAACTGTGCATGCCGTACATATGTACGTATAATATGTATGTATTGCAAGATATAAACTACAAAAGCAAAATAAAATAAAATAAATGCTGAAGAAGCGGACAAAAGAAATAAAAATTTGGGACAGCAACAGCTAAAAAGCAATACAGTTATAAAAACAYACACACATTCATATAAATGCACAGAAACACAATAATTCCATATTAATTTACTGCTTTTTATTATGCAATTTGAGAAAAACAAAAATATTAAAGCAAACAAGCATTTATTGAACAACAAAAAAGCATAAATATTCTGCAACAACAACAAAATTATAGCAGCTGCATAACACGCTTAAGTTCAAATATAAAGTGAGCGGACTTCTTTAGTTCTCAAGCAACAATATACAAAACACACATATACTATATAGTATGGTACATACCAAACACATGCATATACAAGTATATGTGTATAAGTGTAACAAACTTTATGTCACAACAATTATAAACAATATACGATATATGTACATGCAATGCATTAAACAAACTTTTGTGCGTGTGCTTTCTGTCTGTCGCTCGAATATTTGTATGCATTATAAAAGTAAAGTAAGATTTAAAACCGCAACCTGTATACTCGTAAACACCAATACACATGCATGCATATATATAAATATGTATAGATGTGTGGGTAAATCAATGTCACACACACACACACACACACACACAAATACGCACTCATAGGCAGAAGATATTATATAAATTTCGACTAAATTTACGCTATATTGCTAGATGTATGTATATTTAGGTATGAAGTAATGCGAATAAAATTTAAAATAAAATACATATTTTAAAAGAAAAAATAAACAAGACGTGTTCTGATCTCAATTAAAGTATGAAAAGCAAGTAAAAGAGCTGATAAGCAAACACTAGAGGAACGCCACTGCTTCCGATTTAAGCTAGGTCGCATAAAATAGCCGAACTTAACTGGAAGTGTAACCCATTGCATTGAAAACAGCGACCCACTATAATCTAGTAGTATTTCCAGTGGCAGCAAAACTGTATTCTTAACCGACTATAACGAGCGACCATAAATCGACAGGAAATTTCAAATAAATCGGTAAAGAAGTGCAAGGCGGTACTCTTCATTGAAAACAAGAAGAAAGCATCCAAAAAAAAACCTAAAAAGTCAACTGTTTGATGAATTTATTGCCAGTAGAAATATAGCTACCCCTTTAAGTAACCCCAGAAGGGTTTGACAAGTTTGCCRGGCGACCATGAATTATAAGAAATTGTCTATAATTCTAACACGGCCCTACCGATAGCAAATGATATAATCTTCAAGGCGTTGGCGAAATTGGAAAGTTTTACAGAATTTATAAGAAATAGTATATGAATTGTATTTTCTCTCCATCAGAAGTTTAAATATATTTTAAAATTTTTTCCCCTCACAAATTCTGGTCTTTCATTGGCATTTTTGCATTAACAGAAAAAAATTAGCTAAAAGCAAAGAATATACCATGTAAACAAAAGTGAACCGGACTGCTTCATAAAAGTCCCATGCTGTTTAGGTAAACCAAATTGATAAAAAAAAAATGTTTCCCCAAATTGATACAACCTCTTTTTATGTACATATAGAGTTTGATCTCCACATGTCAATATTGATGAATGTTTGCCGAAAGGCATTCAATCAAGGACGTAAAGCCTTCGCAAATTCTCTCCTGGCCTGTCGTTCAGCTCTGTTAATGATGTTCAAAAACCGTYGAGTTGGCATAAGATATAGGTAGAGGATCTCAATTTTTCTAAGTAACCACTCAATAATTTCGGTTAATGTTCTGAAACGTGTCAGTGCCAGATTCTTAGTAAAAGATCTATCACCTATCACGTTGTCATACCTGTGTTTCGAATCACTGTCTTTTTTTTTATTTTTTAATATTTCTCTCGGCTAATCAATATGAGTCTATTTTTTCTGAGCGATCGACAAATTGTGTGGAGTGCAAAGTGAACAAAAACTGTCTACAATAAAATTTTCAGACAATATTGAATGTATGTTGCACCCACTATTGCCTTTATTTGTCTCTATCTCATCAATAAACACTGGTCTTTGACCGAGCTTCATAGCAAAAAATTTATTTATGTTCATCGATGAGCTATTTGTGAGTTAACTCACGTCGAAATTTTTAAATAATAATCGCCCACAAATATTTGAGATCTAAATCCATTTTTTGGCACAGATGAATATTTTAAGTTACTGTAAACAACACGAATAGCGGTTTAAAAACATTTTTAGTATGTTCAACAACAAAAAAATCAAAGTTTATGGTAAAGTAGTCAGTTGCCGGATTACAATACTATGGTGCCCGAAATTTCCTTTTGAGTGTTACAAACATTGTAGCAAATTAAATACAGGTATGTATACCCTGTTCAAGGTATAAAAATGAACCAAAACCGTAACGACCGAAAATTCGCTGAAGGCACCGGAAGGCGCGAAAACTGCTGGAAATAGTTCCAAAACATTTATTCGAAGCGAAAGAAAAGATGTRCATACATATATTTTTTAAACAGCTAATTTTTTTAGCTGCCAATCTGTTTAAATAGCAGGTATCATATGTTCGATTCGCTACTCTCTAACGCTTGACAAAGCGAATACAACGCGTTAAAAATATTGGATCAAGTCTTAAATCTGAAAGTTATTTTCCTTAAATGCATAAAGTTGCAAGATTTCACAGAATTTGCGATCAAACTTCTTCACATAAAAAGGAGGACTTTGAAAATATATATCACAATAGAGCTTTTCTATCTTGTCGAGTTACCCTCTCGCTCTGAACAATTTTATATTATTTTGACATTTCTTCAGGTGATTAATAGACATTTTCGGAACCCATATACCCATCTTGATTTTTTTTTAACGATAATAAGCAACCATCTCTCGTATTAAGAATTATGTTTAGAAATACGAATTAGTATTCTTACGTAAACGACAGTCATCTTCACGATTGAACCCAACTAAAGCGGTATGACAGCTTTTTTGAATTCCMGAAAAGTGTTCTTCACTGTTACTTTTATGGATATCTTATGGATATCTTACATAGTTCAATCATTTGCTGTATACATTTTTATTCAAGAACATCTCGGACTTCAATTGCATAATTCAGGGACTTATGCGGTTTAAAGCACATAACAAGTAACAAAATTAATTCTAACCTTCATTCGAAAACAAAATATAAATCTTATTATAGTCATCGATTGAGGCACACACATTTCGGAATAAGAACTATTTTCAAGACGCTCTTTTATATATCTCTTTTGAGGAGAATTTCTATAAGTTGGCAAGAATGCTTAAATTTTTACAAGTMTATCCTGGAATTTTATGTATCCCAATTTGAGGTTATACCAGCTTTAAAAACACACTATCAAAAGAGCTGCCCTACTCCCACTAAAAGTTAATGCACAAAAACATTTCACTAATAATTTGAGAGAGTTTCCGAATTATGGCATCGAAATTGATGTTTATTTGAAAACACTTGAAGTTTTCGCATAATTTAAGCGCAGCCAACGCTAAATATTTCCAAATTCGCAATTTATGTAAAAACTTAGTTGAAAATTAAAGCGGCAACTTTTCGCAAGAAATTAATGAAACGTAAAAGGCGTCAGCGTCGGGGACCTCGTGTCTAACTAACCATGAAACGTAACGGTAAGTGCAAAACTCCTAGGGAACCATTGCAATTCCAATGCATAAGCACGACAACGCAGGWATACAACGACGCCACAACAACAARAAAACGTAAACTAACAAACAACATCRCCAAGAGCAGAGAAAGSTCAACGGCTGCAGCGCCAACCGACAGGGGAAAGTCCTGCCGGACCAGACGCGCCATTGAGCAAACAACAAGAATTTTGCCAAAAATTATTGCTGCGAATCTGMAACAAAAACACCAATAAAATCCACAACAATGGCGATGCAACACCAGCAACAGCAACGCTGCGGCAACAATTGCCAAAAGCAAATGCCATAAAACAAGTGTGCAGCGCGCCAAGTGCAYAGWGTGGCGTTCGGTGAGCGTGCGAGGCGCCGCGCCCTGCGCTGGAGATAGGCGCCCACGGCTGTACGGCGCGTTGTCGGCGCGCGTTGCACGTAGGCAACGCATTAAAAAGTTTGCAGCTATTTAAAGCGCCATTTCATTGAATCGCTAATTTCGAGCGCCAATAGAGCGGAGTGGCAAGGCAAATAGTAGCAGYGAAGTTGCAATAGTCCAACAACAGTCACCGTTTGAATAGAAACGAAATTGCAAATTTTAAATGGCGGGTGGCAAGTGAGCGCGTGCGAAAATGTTGGTGCACAGAGGGTATACTTATCCTRTGCGTAGGCGTTGCGCTTGCTAGGGTCTTTACAAAAGTGTTACGCGGACGGTAGTCAACTCGAACTTGGAAATTTTGGCGCATTCTCATTGAATGMAGCATTAAGTATTGTTCGTTTCATATGCCACGCGGAGGCTGCAAATGAAAAGTACACACAAACTCCAATCTTTACAGAATAATCGACGGTTAGCGCCTACATTGAA